ACTGTTTAATGAGAAACTATTTGTTCTGTAATCCTTCACCTAAAGTACAATAAAAAAAAACTTAAAAGGAAAAATGGGAGATGAGATGTCCATAAGGGGTTTTGAAAAGTTCAGATGTATTCCTGGGAATCTAGAAGGTCACGTGCATTTGCATGCCTGAGAAAGACCTGAAAAGGCTCTAATCTCTCACTTCCTGCTGATCTTAAGGCTCTGTGCAAGCAGGAAGTAAAGTCTAAAGCAGCCTTATAAACTGCCTGCCAGAACACTGAAGGAGTTCTTTCTCTCTCTCTCTCTCACACACATGCCCCCCCCCCACACACACACCTCATCAGCAAAGGCTGGAAGATATTTTGGTCCAATCATTAGAGGACAACTTAATAGGTTTCAGCGGAACTTCCAGACTAAGACATACTAGGAAGAAAGGTCTAGTGATGTACTTCTGAAAATCAGCCAATGAAGATCCTATGGATCACAACAGTCTGAACTGTAGCCGATCATGGGGATGGCACAGGACTGAGCAGTGTTTTGTTCCAGTGTGCATAGGGTCTTCATGAGTCGGGCTCAACTCAACAGCAGGTAACAACAACAACATGCTAACCAAGCAGAAACTTCAGTGGCCACGCACACAAAAAGAAAACAGAATTTACATAATTAGTCTAGAAAAGACTAAACAAACAAACAGCAACAACAACAAACCCTGGGTGGTGGGGGGAGAAGACTGATTTCTAGAGTTGCCACATTATACTATTTAAAGTGTCCAATTTTCAACAAAAATTATGAGACATGCAAAAAACACAGGAAAGTATGGCGCATACACAGGAAAAAAAGCTATCAATAGAAACTGTACTGAGAAAGCACAGACCTTGTGCTTCCTAGACAAAAACTTAGTTATTTTAAGTTTTTCAAACAACCAAAGGAAACCATGTCTAAAGAACTAAAGAAAAGAGTGAGAATGATGTCTTAGCAAATAGAGAATAACAATAAAGTGTTAGGAATTATAAAAATAACAAAAAACAAATAGAAATTCTGGAGTTGAAAAGTACAACTTAAATGAAAAATTCACTAGAGACTCAAAGGAAGATCTGATCTGAAAGAAGAAAGAACCAGTGAACTTGAAGATAGGTCAATTGAGATTACCCAGTCTGCAGAGCAGAAAGAAAAAGGAATGAAGAAAAATTAACACAGCTTCATCATCCTGTGGGAGGATATGAAGAATACCAACTTATGTATAATGGGAGTCCCAGAAGAAGAAAGGGGCAGAAAGAATATTTGAAGAGTTAATGGCTGAAAGATTCCAAAATTTGATGAAAAACACTAGTCTACACATCAAAGAAGCTAAGTGGACTCCACATAGAATAAACTCAAAGCAATCCACACTTAGACATATAGCAGCCATACTGTCAAAAGCAAAAGTCAAAGAGAAAACCTTGACAACAACAAAAGGCAAGAGACTTATTACAGACAAGGGATCCTCAGTAAGATTAACAGTTGACTTTTCCTCAGAAACTATGGGGGCCAGAAGACAGTGTAATGACATATTCAAAGTGCCGAAAGAAAAAAAATTGCCAATTAAAATTTCTACATCCAGCAAAAAAGTACTTCAAAAATGAAGGAGAGAACCGATAGAGAATCTGGAGCAGGATGGCAACATGAGCATCTCCACATTCCTGTCTGCACAAATACACACACACACACACACACACACACACACACACACACAAGCAGAAACTGGTAGAAGCAACTTTGTCAGAATCAGGACTTCAAACTGGTTCTTCCCGGTTCAGTCACGGCCATGGAAGTGAAACTGGAACAGACCCAAGTGAACTGAAACAGAAACTGGAATGGGAAAAATTACAGGTCAATGCCCTGCTAGAAACCTAATCTCCCCCTTAGAAAACAAAGGCAGTGTATGTGTTGCACAGCAAGCAGATCTCTTGCCTGTCAGATTTTGAGCAGAACTGGAAATAGTGCTGCCCCGCTCAAAGATGGTGGCCAACCATGCCACTTTGAATGTGTGTCACTCTCCACAGTCCTACCAATAATCCAATCTCATGCATCAGGCTCCTGAAAGGGCTCACTACGCCTCTTCCGAGTCTCCCATTCCAGTGTTTTGACCTGCGATTTTTCCCATTCTGGTTACTGTTCCAGAGTACCCAAATTGTAAAAATTTGGGTCTGTTCTGGTTTCGCTTTGTTGGACATGACTGAACCAGTTCAAACCAGTTCAAAGCCCTAGTCAGAACTCTGGAAACTAGTCAAAGGGTTACAGCAACTAAGCAAATGCTGAATTAAGAAAAAGACAATGTCAAAACAGTAGGAAAGCTTCGGCTTTCTATGTACCATGCCCTAACCCCTCCCTGGCTTGCTGCTGTCCTAAAGCTATATCAGCCCATATTCCCAGAGAGGGATAATGGTCTCTGGCTCCACAGACATATAGAAAACATATAGCAAAATTGCAGACATAAATTTTACCTTATCAGTAATTACATTAAACATAATTAAATACATTAAATGTAAATAAATTAAACACTCCACTCAAAAAGCAAAGATTGGAAGAATGGACTAAAAAAAATAAAATAGGAATCAGAGTAGAGCTGGATTTTCATAATTTAAGTCTTCCTTTTTTTTCCTGGATTGTGAAGTTTGTTGGTCTTTTCAGAAAACCAACTTTTCGTTTCATTGATTTTCTTGTTTTTCTATTTTTTATTTCATTTATTTCCACACTAATCTTTATTTCCTTCCTTCAGCTTCATTTGGGTTGATTTGTTTTTCTTTTTGTAGTTTCTTAAGGTGAAAGGTTCAGTTATTGATTTGAGATCTTTCTTCTTTGTTAATATGGGAGTTTATAGTTATAAATATTCCACTAAGGAGTCCTGGTGGCACAGTGGTTAAGAGTTTGGCTGCTAACCAAAAGGTCAGCAGTTTGAATCCACCAGCTTCTCCCTGGAAACCCTGTGGGGCAGTTCTGCTCTGTCCTATAGGGTCATTATGAGTCAGAATCGACTCGACAGCAACGCATTTTTGGTTAAGCACTGCTTGCACTGCTTCTCATAAGTTTTGGTATGCTGTGTTTTTGTTTTAACATCTCAAAGTACTTTTCTAGCTCTCCCTGTGATTTCTTTTTGATTCACTGATTATTCAGAAGAGTGTTGTTTAATTTCCACATATTTGTAAATTTCCTAAATATCCTTCTGTTACTGCTTTCTAACTTCATTCCATTGTGAATAGAAGCGGTGGACATTCTTGTCTTATTCCCCATCTTAGAGAAGATTTCACTCTTTCACCATTAATTATGATGTTGAGTATTAACACACAGATATGGCTAATTGATTTCTGACAAAATGCAAAGGCAAGTAAATGGTGAAAGCATAATTTTTTCGGTAACTGGTACTGGAGCAATTGGGTATTCATACACAAAAAAGTGAAGCTTAACCTAAACCTCACATCTTATATAAAACGTCAAGTCAAAATGGATCACAGATCTCCGTGTAAAATGTACAACTATAAAACTTTTAAAAGGAAACAGGAAAAAATATTTTTCATGACCTGGTGTTAGGCAGAGTTCTTAGACATAACAACAAAGCACAATCCATAAAAAAAAAAGCTGATAATCTATATTTTATCAAAATTTAACACATTTGCTCTGTGAAAGACACTGTTCAAGAAAATGAAAAGACAAGCTACAGACTGAGAAAAATCACACATCTCACAAAGAGTTTTGTTTAGACTATATAAAGAAAACTCAAAATTCAACAGGAAGAAAATAAACAACCCAATTAAAAAACAGCAAAAGATTTGAACATACACTTCAGCAAAAAGGATATAAGGATGACAAGTAAGCACATGCAAAGATGTTCAACATCATTAGCCGTTAAGGAAAAGCAAATTAATACTACAATGAGATACCACTACACACCTACTGGAGTAACTAAAATAAATACCAACAATACCAAGTGATAACAAAGATGCAGAGCAACTGGGACTCTCATACACTGCTGATGGGAATGCAAAATGGTACAGCCACTTTGTAAAATGATTTGGCAGTTTCTTTTAAACATATACTTACCATACGACCCAGTAATCCCACTCCTAGGTATTTACCTTAGAGAAATAAAAACTTATGTCCACACAAAAACCTGTACAAGAATGTTTATAGCAGTATTATTCATAATCACCAAAACCTAGACCCAACCCAAATGCATTTCAATAGGTGAATAGATAAATAAACTTTGGTACACCCATACAATGGAATGCTACTCAGTAAAATAGATGAAATATCGATACACATAACAACTTGGGTGAATGGATGAATCTCAAAGATATTATGCTGAGTGAAAGAAGCCAGTCTCAAAGGTTACATATTGGACAATTCCATTTATATGACATTCTCTAAAAGACAAAATTACAGTGATGGAGAACAGATCAGTGGTTGCCAGGGATTATGGGTGGAAGCTGGAGGTAGTATGAGGGAGTTTTTTAAGGTGATGGAACTATTCTGATTGTGGTTGTGGTTACATGAATCTATACCTGATGTACAATTCACAGAATTCTACACCAAAAAATAAAAAAAAGAACCAGTTGATTTTATTGTAAGTTAATTTCAAAAATAAAATAAAATAGTAAATATTAAATTATTATCATAATCATTATCATCAATAGTTATACTTTTCTGAATAATAAAAATATTCAGAATTAGTTGTAAAATAGGACTTAAAATCATTAAGGTCAATTTAGATCTGGTACAATAATTTAAAGGTATAGAGAAAAAAATTAATAACACTAAATGTAAAAGCTTTACAACTCTTACTAACTCATATCTTTAATATTCTATATCAGGATAATATGCTCCCTCTGGATCATTTCCTATAAACATTGTCATCTACTGAATATGGAAATAAATAAGTGCTTAGCTTAGAAGTCTGGGATCCTAGGCTATATTCCTAAATCTAACACTATAAGAAAACTCTCAACTTGCCTTTTGTGCCTAATTTTATCTTCCTCTTCATTGAGGTCATGTACTTGTCTGCACTTGTCTTTTTGTGGTATGCTGTGAAGGTTTAAAGCAAGGAGTTTCAAAGACAGGAAACAGAACAGATTCATACACCTCCCCCCAAACACCAGGTACTGTTCTAAGTGATTTACATGTATTACCTGATTTATTCCTCATAACAGATCTATAATATAGCTACTATGAATATTCTCATTTTACAGATGAAGAAACTGAAACAGAGAAATAACTTGTCCAACACCTCATAGCTAGTATGTGGGGGAGCTGGGATTTTCCCAGGCAGTCAGCCTCCAGAGCCCATGCTCTTAATCAGTATGCTATCCTGTCTCTTGACAAAAGTCTATTCATTTGTTTATTCCTTCTTACTTCATTCATTCACTACTGCTCTTCCATGTTTATGGTCCTCTCTGTCTCAAATACTTCATTCATTCTCATGGCTTTCACTATAATCTAAGCATAGATGATTCCCAATTCTATATATCTAGCTCTGACCTCTCTACTGTGCTTTGGTGCTGCATTTCCAACTGTCTCCTCAATATCTGAATTTGATGATCCTGCCATTGCCACAAATTCAACATGTTGAAAATAAAAGTCATCATCTTTCCTCAAAATTTCCCCATAAATGCTTTCTTAATTTTGTCAACTGATAAGTCCCACGGCCTTGAAATATCTGAGTTATCTCTGACACATTCCTCTCCATTGACCCTCCTGGAGCCTTCATTCTCAGTTGAAAAGTTTTATCAATTCTTCCTTCGCAACCATAACTTTCTTTCCAGTTCTACTGCCATCATTCTAGTTCAGATCTTCATACCTAAATGACTGTAATACCTCCTATCCATCGTCTCTGCCTCCAGTTCTTTCTCTCTCTAATCCTACTTACTGGCCACCAGATTAATCATTTTAAAATACTGCTTTTATCACATTACTCCTGGCTCAAAAACCTTCAACCATATTCAAACAACTGACTAACTCAGTATAGGCCTAGCTTACCTAACAAAGAAAATTCACAGTCTTTTGCTCATTATAAGATCCTCCAATATTTGATTCTAACCTACCTTTCTAACCTTGTTTCCCACAACTCTCCCAAACACTCCATAGTGCTCATGCCATCCATTGTAATTGATGTCTTCCCTCCCCTTTCAAAAAAATGGGTAGTGTTAAAAGACCACTTAAATCTTACCTCCTCTAAGACTTCTTCAGCTACCAATACACAGTGGCATTTCCCTCCTCTGAACTCCTACAGTACTTAACAACTGTATCTAGCAATGTTACTAAATATTATATGTTTATCTCTCTAACCAGATTATAAATGGCACAAGGTCAGGAACCATTTCTTAAACTTCTGTGAATCTTCCACAGGGCCTAGCAAAACTTATCTGTTAAACCAATACTTTCTGGTTAAGACACAGAGTATTAATCTATATATTTTTTGCTAATTTATAGCTGAACCTAAAGACCTTTAGAATCTAGCCTGACCCACCTTCCCAGTGTCATCTCCTGTCATTCCCTGTCATGCCCTATATTCCTGCCATACTGAACTTTTCATTGTTCCCTAAACACACCAGATCCTTTCACAATTCTGTTCCTATTCACCACTATCTGTAAATGTCCTCTTGCCCTTATTTATCTGACAAATTCCTGTTGATCCTTCAAGACTCAGTACAAATGTCAACTCCTGACTCCCCCAACTACAATCATGCACCGCATAACGTCCGTTTGGGCAATGTCCAACCACATATACGTCCGTGGTCCCAAAAGGTTATAATAAGAGTTCAGAAATCCTGATCAGAAAATGGGACGCAGGGGATGTAACTGGACGTAGCGAACTCAACAGCTTCCGGCACGCAACACATGTACCTCGTGCCTCTTGTATACAAAGTGACTGCACTGCCAGGGGTATTTAACTCAAATTTTTAAAATAATAGGCTTTATGGCAGTCTGTTCTTAAGTACAAGTTGTCTGTAAATTGGACATTCCTAACCCAGGGACTGCCTGTAATATGATGTGAATGTTAAACCACGCATGACTGTATACTAAGATGTTCTATGTTCTGTGCTCCCTCAGCATTTTAAGTACATCTCTATAACAGAAATTTTCATGTTGTACTATGTCTATCTGTATACATATTTATCTCTCCCATGGGAATATAATTTCTTCAAGAGTAAAGATAGTTTCTTACTTGTCTTTCTCTATTCCCGTCACCAAGTCCTCATGTTTAATGCCCTGATGTTCAATCTTTCTCTCAGTGAAAGAACATATCAAAGTCAGTGGGGATCACATACCTTCGTAATAAAGAGCCTTAAGGAAGGAGTGACGATCAGCTCCCTGAAATAAAGACTTTTCTATTTCCATTTCTCGCCGGGTTAGCTGTTTGCTCTTTGCAAATCTCTGTGGCAGGCAAAGGATACGCTGACGCTCTGTGATCCTTTTTTCAATATCTTGAAGACGGTTCTGTATTGCTTCAGGGGTTGCCCTTAGTCTCGTCCTCTGAAACGAGAGAAATGGGATGGCATATATCATAGAGGACAGACCCTTGAAAGTGATTATCTGATACATCAAATAAGAAATAAGATGAATATCGGGGCCCAGAAATGAACATTTATAGAAGTCTTAGCTAAAAAGTCAAGAATAGCTTCTCTTTTACCAAGGCCCCTATCCTAGAAACCAAAGAAGATTCAGACACAGAGCTCAGTTTTGTGAGAACTAAAAAATGCAAAGGTTCTCAATGCCAAATGAAGAGTTCCTTCTCTTCACTGCCCTACTCACCTTTTCACCTGAAACATGGCTTTTCCAGATTAAGATTTCTGTTTCACTGAGCCCTAGTTCCCTGAGAGAAGCAGTTTCCTGGTCCTTCTCATGCAGAGTCTGGAACTGGGACAAAGTCATAGTCCCAGCTGCTTCTTTCCCAAAGGGCTTGTACATAGTACCAGGAGCAAAGCTCTCTTTCTTAGACACACATCTGCAAAACAAACAGGAGGAGAGTAAGAACATCTTGAGTTTACCAAAATTCACAGAAATGGGGGATCACTATTTAAGAGGCACAAGAAATTCATCAGCAATTTCTCTCTTATATCCTATTTCTAGGCTGAAGCACCACTGCAATGAAATGGAATAGTTCCCTCTAGGATTTATAAATGACTGAAATCCAGTTGCCGTCGAGTCGATTCCGACTCATAGCGACCCTACAGGGTTTCCAAGGAGTGGCTGGTGGATTTGAACTGCTGACCCTTTGGTTAGCAGCTAAGCTCTTAATCACTGCACCACCAGGGCTCCATAAATGACTGAATCGACAAATATTTATTAAGTACCTACTATGCATCAGACACTGTACTAAGTACTGAGAATTTAATAATAAAACAGAAAAAATTGTTTCTACTTTTGTAGAAGAGAGGCAAGTAAATAGGCAATGATAACATTGGGTTATAAGTACTATCTATGTCAGGGGAAATACAGGGTGCTGTAGGACATAGGGGAGCCCTGGTGGCACAGCAGTTAAGAGCTCAGCTGCTAACCAGAAGGTCAGCAGTTTGAATCTATCAGCTGTTCCTTGGAAACCCTTTGGGGCAGTTCTACTCTGTCCTAGAGGGTTGCTACGAGTCGGAATCAACTTGAGAGCAACAGGTTTGGTTTGGAGTTTGGCAGGACATAGGAAAGGTACTTAGCCCAGACTGAGTGGGTATGGAAGATCTCATAGAGGAAGAGACACAGAATCAAAATCCTGCCTAAAAAGTAGAAGTATGCCAAGCAAATGGGTTGAGACAGGAGTGTTTCACCCAGACTTTAAGAGGGGTCTGTCACCTGGAGGTGAACATCTATGATACTCTGCCTTGTTTGAAAAATCAATACCTACTCCTGAATAGAGACAGAGGTATCAAGTTGATGCTGAAGGAGGCTTTTCAGCTGCCTCTCCCCTTCTGTTTCCAATTCTTCCAGGACATGCTCATCACTCTTCACACAGCTATTTACCCTGGAATAAATATAAGAAAACAATACAGAAAGTAGAAGAAACAGTGAATCTGAAAATACATTCTTATGTATATTCTCTACCATTAGGGACCATATTTGTTCAAAGATACTTCTCCAACAGTTTGTTGCCCTTTATCATTCATTCCATAAGCATTTAGTAAATACCTAATACAAAACAGAAGAACATGAATAAAAACATTATTCTAAGTGAAAGAAGCCAGTATGTGAATTGTATCTCAATAAAGTTGTTTCGAAAAAGAAACAAAGCAGAGGAAAGCAAAACAAACATAGAAGGCACTGTGCTGTAGGTTCTGCTGGAAGTCAAAGATGTCTAGACATAGTCCCCATCTGCAAGAAGCTAACATATACACACAAACACACATATACGCACTGAGAGAGAGACAGAGAGAGAATAATACAAAGAAGCTAAGAAGCATACATCAAATTAGTAGGAGTTCACAGAAGAGATAATTGGGAGCTAGGGTGGTATAGACTTCAGAAAGGTAATTCTTAAACTAACATTTGAAGGATTAGGAGTGATAAAGGAAAGGAGAACAGGGAGAGCAAGTATGACAGAAATATGTTGTTGTTGTTAGGTGCCGTCCAGTCGGTTCCAACTCATAGCCACTCTATGCACCACAGAATGAAACACTGCCTGGTCCCGTGCCATCCCCATAATCATTGTTATGCTTGAGCCCATTATTGCAGCTACTGGGTCAATCCATCTCGTTGAGGGTCTTCCTCTTTCTCGCTGACCCTCTACCCTACCAAGCATGATGTCCTTCTCCAGAGACTGATCCCTCCTGACAACATGTCCAAAGTATGTAAGATGCAGTCTCGCCATCTTTGCTTCTAAGGAGAATTCTGGTTGTACTTCTTCCAAGACAGATTTGTTCATTCTTTTGGCAGTCCATGGTATATTCAATATTCTTCGCCAACACCATAATTCAAAGGCGTCAATTCTTCTTTGGTCTTCCTTATTCTTTGTCCAGCTTTCACATGTATATGATGTGACTGAAAATACCATGGCTTGGGTCAGGCACACCTTCGTCTTCAAGATGACATACTTGCCTTTTAACACTTTTAAAGAGGTCTTTTGCAGCAGATTGGCCCAATGCAATGCGCCTTTTGATTTCTTGGCTGCTGCTTCCATGGGTGTTGATTGTGGATCCAAGTAAAATGAAATCCTTGACAACTTCAATCTTTTCTCCGTTTATCATGATGTTGCTTATTGGTCCATTTGTGGGGATTTTTGTTTTCTTTATGTTGAGGTATAATCCATACTGAAGGCTGTGGTCTTTGATCTTTATCAGTAAGTGCTTCAAGTCCTCTTCACTTTCAGCAAGCAAGGTTGTGCTACCTGAATAACACAGGTTGTTAATGAGTCTTTCTTCAATCTTGATGCCCGTTCCTCTTCATATAGTCCAGCTTCTCGGATTATTTGCTCAGCATACAGACTGAATAGGTATGGTGAAAGGATACAACCCTGACGCACACCTTTTCTGACTTTAAACCACTCAGTATCCCCTTGTTCTGTTCAAACAACTGTCTCTTGATCTATGTACAGGTTCCTCATGAGCACAATTAAGTGTTCTGGAATTCCCATTCTTCACAATTTTATCCATAATTTGCTATAATCCACACAGTTGAATGCCTTTGCATAGTCAATAAAACACAAGTAAACATCTTTCTGGTATTCTCTGCTTTCAGCCAGGAATCCATCTGAGATCAGCAATGATATCCCTGGTTCTACATCCTCTTCTGAATCCAGCCTGAATTTCTGGCAGTTCCCTGTCGATATACTGCTGCAGTCACTTTTGAATGATCTTCAGCAAAATTTTATTTGTGTGTGATATTAATGATATTGTTCGATAATTTCTGCATTCAGTTGGATCACCTTTCTTGGGAATAGGCGTAACTATGGATCTCTTCCAGTTGGTTAGCCACGTAGTTGTCTTCCAGATTTCTTGGCATAGACAAGTGAGCACTTCCAGAGCTGCATCTGTTTGTTCAAACACCTCAATTGATATTCCGTCAATTCCTGGAGCCTTGTTTTTCACCAATGCCTTCAGTACAGCTTGGACTTCTTCCTTTGGTACTATCAATTCCTGATCATATGCTACCTCTTGAAATGGTTGAACATTGACCAGTTCTTTTTGGTATAATGACTCTGTGTGTTCCTTCCATCTTCTTTTGATGCTTCCTGCGTTGTTTAGTATTTTCCCCATAGAATCCTTCAGTATTGCAACTCGAGGCTTGAATTTTTTCTTCAGTTCTTTCAGCTTGAGAAATGCCTACGGTGTTCTTCACTTTTGGTGTTCTATCTCCAGCTCTTCGCACATGTCATTATAATACTTTACTTTGTCTTCTCGAGCCACCCTTTGATATCTTCTGTTCAGTTCTTTTACTTCATCATTTCTTCCTTTTGCTTTAGCTACTCAACGTTCAAGAGCAAGCTTCAGAGTCTCTTCTGACATCTATTTTGGTCTTTCTTTCTTGTCTTTTTAACGACCTCTTGCTTTCTTCATGTGTGATGTCCTTGATGTCATTCCACAACTTGTCTGGTCTTCAGTTAATGTTCAATGTGTCAAATATATTCTTGAGACGGTCTGTAAATTCAGGTGGGATATACTCAAGGACATACCTCAGCTTCAACTCAAACTTGCATATGAGCAATTGATGGTCTATTCCGCAGTCAGTCCCTGGCCTTGTTCTGACTGATGATATTGAGCTTTTCCATTGTCTCTTTGCACAGATGTAGTCAATTTGATTCCTGTGTATTCCATCTGGCGAGGTCCATGTGTATAGTTGCCATTTATGTTGGTGAAAAAAGGTATTTGCAATGAAGAAGTCGTTGGTGTTGCAAAATTCTATCATGCGATCTCCGGCATCGTTTCTACCACCAAGGTCCTATTTTCCAAATACCGATCTTTCTTCTTTGTTTCCAACTTTCACATTCCAATCACCAGTAATTACCTATGCATCCTGATTGCATGTTCGATCAATTTCAGACTGCAGAAGCTGGTAAAAATCTTCAATTTATTCATCTTTGGCCTTAGCAGTTCGTGCATAAATTTGAATAATAGTCTTTCTTATTAACTGGTCTTCCTTGTAGGCGTATGGATATTTTCCTATCACTGACAGTGTTGTACTTCAGGATAGATCTTGAAATGTTCTTTTTGATGATGAATGCAATGTCATTCCTCTTCAAGTTGTGATTCCCACCATATGATTGTCTGATTCAAAATGGCCAATACCAGTCCATTTCAGCTCACTTATGTCTAGGATACTGATGTTTATGTGTTCTATTTCGTTTCTGACGATTTCCAATTTTCCTAGATTCATACTTCGTACAGTCCACATTCCGATTATTGATGGATGTTTGCAGCTGTTTCTTCTCATTTTGAGTCATGCCAGAACAGCAAATGAAGGTCCCGAAACCGAAAGCTTGACTCCATCCACATCATTAAAGTCAACTCCACTTTGAGGAGGCAGCTCTTCCCCAGTCGTCTTTTCAGTGCCTTCCAACCTGGGGGGCTCATCTTCTGGCACTATATGAGACAATGTTTCGCTGATATTCATAAGGTTTTCACTGGCTAATTATTTTCAGAACTAGACTGCTGGGTCCTTCTTCCTAGTCTGTCTTAGTCTGGAAGCTCAGCTGAAACCTGTCCACCATGGGTGACCCTGCTGGTATCCGAATACCGGTGGCATAGCTTCCAGCATCACAGTAGCATGCAAGCCCTCACAGTACGACAAACTGACAGACACGTGGGGGACAGAAATATGTACTGGAGGATAATGAGCAGTTCAATTTAGCTGGCACTCATGTATGGCAGTACAGGAGGCAATCTTGGAGGGATGCCCTTAAATATACCAATTAAGGGGCCTGGACCTTGATCTATAGATATTAGAGAATAATTTATTTGGCAGTTTAGTGACATAGTGCAAGTGATGGTTTAGGAAGATGAATGTGGTTGTAATATGATATATGGATTAAAAGGGAAGAAACCAAATGAACTAGTTAGGAAATTATTGAAGTTTATGAGGTCTAAGGTGATGAATGTCCAGAATAGAACGGTAATAGTAGAAATGAAAAGGAAGGGTTAGATGACAGAGGCCTTTTGAAGGTAGGGATAAAGGAGAAGTCAAAGATAACTCCAAAATTACAAGCTGTGTAACAGAAAACAATGCTACCAATGATGGAAAAGAGGAAGCTCCAGATAGAATAGTTTGGTAAAGGAAAAGTCAGTATTGTTTTAGCCACATTGAGTCAACTACCTATTACAATTAAAACACTCACATGAAGTATCAGGAATATTTCAAAGATCTGTTAAATATGTACTGACAGCACACGTGGTATTGGCTAAAAGGAAGCTGAGAGATTGGAGAATTGTTGCTTAGATGAGAGTCTGAGGCCGAATATGGAAACCTAAAGGTCATCTGTGTTGACAGGATCTGGAGCTGTGAGAGCGGGATGAGATCTCTCAATAGAGTATATAAAGAAATGTGAAGAGGGTCATAAAATGTTATAACCTAGACACTACTGTGTAGAAATCCAGGTAATGCTAATATGAGCTAACTTACCCTAAATAAGTGGAAACTCTTATTAGAGTATAAAGAAATAGCAGGACCATTTAAGTATGCAGCAACAAATAACAAAAAACAAAAATGAGTTAACTCCGTAGAGAAAATACATGTATCTTCCTTATAAAATAGCCCTTTACTACCTGGGTTATGACGAAGCCTAGAAAAAGTATCCCCTATAACTATAAGCAAGATTTCCATGTTCTAAAGGACTTGGACCAATTTTGGGGAAATTTTTAAATATCTTTAGGCCCAGGGTTTTAAAAATTCCTCTTTAGGATCTTAATTTTTATTTAGTATTTAGCAAGTTCTTGCTAAGTTCAAAGTGGCTTTCATGTAAATAAACCATAGTTAAGACAGCAATCTCAAAAAGATGAATGTCAAAAAAAATGCTGAATGAGAAAATGCAGGTCATAGAAACATTCATACAATATGAGTCTATTTATATAAAGTTGAAAATGGACAAAACTAATAACATTTTGTTTAGGGATAATTTAACATATTAAAACTATTTTTTTTACAAGGGAATGATGAACACAAAATTCAGGACAGTGGTTACCTCAGGGGGAAGGGAGGGAGGAGAAGCAATCAGGGAGGGGCTTGCAAGGTACTGGTAATGCTCTGTTTCTTAAGCTTACAGTGGATATGAGTGTTTATTATTATTCTTTAAACTATACATATACACTATGTACATTATTTTTAATGTATGAGATGTTATAAATTTTTTAATAAATAATTCTTTTAAAGAAGGTTATTTTCAGGCAGGGAAAATCGGAAACAGTTTTTTTTTTTTTTTTTTTTTTAAGATGCAAGGAACTGACAGCAGGAAAGCATATCGTTATTTTAAACGCACTGCACTATTCCAGCGTAATTATTTTACTTGCAGAATGAATACAAAACTAATTTAATGAGGACCTTTTAAAAAGGCTGTGTGTGTCCTGTCAATAATTGTGAGGCTCAGGCTCTCACAACACTGACCATCTCGGTTAAATCGGCCATTTACTGCAGGACCAGTAGGGGGACTGCTCGCGGCAATGCTTTTGTTTTCCTATAATATATCAAACCGGTTTAGTGTTTGCCTTCTAAATTTGTAGAAACAAAGTATCACTTTCTTACTTTACAATTTAAAAGCGCTACGTGCTTTCGGGGTCCAAGCAAGTTTCCTCTAACACACAAACATTGCAAATAAATGCGTCCACACCGACCCACTTCGGAGGATGAGGCCAAGGTAGGGTGGGACAGGGAGGGGCTGGCCTGGCTATCTCCGGCGTAGGGTATCAGTCAGCCAAGACCCTTTTCCTGGGTGGGTCGTCAAAAACAGGAAGAAGCCACAGCATTCATCCAGCCCCCACGGCCAGCGACTTGGCCCGAATGCCGGTGCCGGGAGGGCATTCCTACGTAAACCCGTTTCGGCCCTTCCTGAACTTCGCCAGGCAGGCCTGTCTCGCCCATCTCCCCTCCTCCCTTTACCTTGGTTTAACCGCTCACAAGAAACCGCACCCCGAAAACGTGACAAATACAAAACAGAAAAGAATAAAACCCATTTTAAAAGTAAAAAGGTAGAACAGAGCTCCCCTCGCCACCTGCTCCTCAGACAAGCCCTTACCTCTTCATGTTTCCACAGGCCCCTATCTCTAACTTGGGTAAACAGGCCGCGGACTACTAGTCCCAGAACTCTGTGCGGCCGACTCTAAGGGGATTGTGGTGGAGCGTGGGAGTTTGGGAGTTGTAGTATCGCAGAGCTAAAGAACCGGAAAGAGAAACTAGGCGTTCAGTAACCAGTGTGTTGTAAATTGTTCAAATATTTCTCTTGAATTTCTCCTATGGGTTAAAGGTAAAACCTAGGATATCTAGCTCACAAACCTAGGAGTCACCTTTGACTTGTCTTTCTTGTCCAATCTCACTAAATCCTGGCTCCTCTCTACCTCGAATTTGTTTCTATTTATCTGACCTTCCAGTCTTGCCTCTAGTCCATCCTCTGCAGTATAGAGTGATCCGACACAAGTCTGACCACACCACTTCCACTAATGCTTGCCCTCTACCTTTAACAGAGGCTTCTAAGTTTTTTCAATTCAGGATCAGAAATCCATATGTATTCAGGCCCATGTATTGATACTTATGGAGAATCAAGAGAGAGGTATAGGGAAGTGGTTAAGAGCATGAGCTCTTAGTTTCCAGAAATAGAAATACAAATGTCCTTGTGTATCTGAAAAGATGTTCAATCTCAATAATAAATGAAATGAAAACGAAAAAATACAGTGACTACAAAATACTTGACAAGTACTCAAAACAGTCAAGGTTATCAAAAACAAGGAAAGTCTGAGAAACTATCAAAACCAAGAGGAGCCTAAGGAGACATGACAACTAAACGAAATGTGGTATCCTGGATAGGACCCAGGAATAGAAAAAGGACATTAGGGGAAAAAAAATGAGGAAATCTGAATAAACTATGGACTTTAGTTAATAATAATGTACCAGTACTAGTTGGAAACCCTGGTGGCATAGTGGTTAAGAGCTACAGCTGCTAACCAAAAGATCAGCAGTTCAAATCCACCAAGCGCTCCTTCTATGAGTTGGAATTGACTAGACAGCAACAGGTTTGGTTTTTTTAATATTGGTTACGTTGTGTCATCCGTATATCACAGGTTGTTAATAATAGGTCATCCTCCAATCCTGATGCCATGTTCTTCTTCATATAATTGTTTCTCAGGTTATTTGCTCAGATACAGATTGAATAAAACCAAAAAACTCATTGCCGTCAAGTTGATTCCGACTCATAGTGACCCTATAGGACAGAGTAGAACTGCCTCATAGGGTTTCCAAGGAGCGGCTGCTGGATTCAAAACAGAATAAGTATGGTGAAAGGATACAACCCTGACACACACTTTTCTTGATTTTAAACCACACAGTATCCCCTTGTTCTATTTGAATGACTGCCTTTTTGTGTGTGTAGGTTCCTCTTGGTCTACATACAGGTTCCTCGTGAGCACAGTTAAGTGTTTTGGAATTCCCATTCTTCATAATGTTATACATAATTTGTTATGATCCACACAGTCGAATGCCTTTGCAGTCAATAAAACACAGGTAAACATCTTTCTGGTATTCTCTGCTTTCAGCTAGGATCCATCTGACATCAGCAGTGATAACCCTCGTTCAGTGTCCTCTTCTGAATCTGGCTTGAATTTCTGGCAGTTCCCTGTTGATATACTGCTGCAACTACTTTTGAATGATCTTCAGCAAAATTTTACTTGTGTGTGATGTTAATGATATTGTTCGATAATTTCTGCATTCTGTTGGATCACTTTTCTTTGGAATGCGCACAAATATGGATCTCTTCTAGTCGGTTGGCCAGGTAGCTGTCTTCCAAATTTCTTGGCATAGATGAGTGAGCACCTCTAGCACTGCATCCATTTGTTGAAACATCTCAGTTGGTATTCAGTTCCTGGAGCCTTGTTTTTTGCCAATGCCTTCAGTGCAGCTTGGACTTTTTCCTTCAGTACCATCTTCCCTTGCTGAAAGCAAAGAGGACTTGAAGCACTTACTAATGAAGATCAAAAACTACAGCCTACAGTATGGACCACTTCTCAACATAAAGAAAACAAAAATCCTCACAACTGGACCAATAAGGAACATCATGATAAACGGAGAAAAGACTGAAGTTGTCAAGGATTTCATTTTACTTGGATCCACAACCAATGCCTACGGAAGCAGCAGTCAAGAATCAAATGACATATTGCATTGGGCAAGTCTGCTGCAAAAGACCTCTTTAAAGTGTTAAAAAGCAAAGATATCACTTTGAGGACTAAGGTGCGCCAGACCCAGGCCATGCTATTTTCAATCGCCTCATATGCATTTGAAAGCTGGACAATGAATAAGGAAGACCAAAGAACTATTGATGCCTTTGAATTATGGTGTTGGCGAAGAATATTGAATATACCATGGACTGCTAGAAGAATGAATAAATCTGTCTAGAAAAATGAATAAATCTAGAAGTACATCTAGAATGCTCCTTAGAAGTGAGGATGGCGAGTCTTCGTCTCATGTACTTTGAACATGTTTGTCAGGAAAGACCAGTCCCTGGAGAAGGACATTATGCTTGGTAGAGGGTCAGCAAAAAAAACAAAGGAAGACCCTCAACGAGATGGATTGGCACAGTGGGTAGAACAATGGGCTCAAGCATAACAATGATTGTGAGGATGGCGCAGAACCTGGCAGTGCTTCCTTCTGTTGTACATACGGTTGCTATGAGTCAGAACCGACTCGACAGCACCTAACAAGTGGTTCATTAAACGCTATGGACCACAGTTCTACTCTGACACACACGGGGTCACTATGAGCCAGAGTCCACTTGATGGCAACAGGTGTTTTTAAATATTGGTTCATTAGCTGTGATAAAGGAGCCCTGGTGGCACAATGGTTCAGCGCTTGGCTGCTAACTGAAAGGTTGGCAGTTTGAACCCACCAGCCACTCAGAAGGAGAAAAGACCTGGTGATCTGCTTCTGAAAGATTACAGCCTAGGAAATCCTATGAGGCTGTACTACTCTGTCACATAGGGTTACTACGAGTCAGAAATCAATTCAACGGCACACAACAGCAGTTGTGATTAATGTACCAGTTGTGTTGTTTAACAATAGGAAAAACTGAGTGGAGGCATACTGAATTCTATGTACTATGCTTGGAACTTTTCTTCTGTAAAACTTAAAAAAATAGTTAATTATTTTTTAAGTACACTAAAATAACATTTGTGACCTATTACATTGATAAAGAGCCCCAATTTTTTTCTGTTGAGATTTCGGGGAAATAGTCACTCTCAGAACATTGGTGGTAGGAATATAAATCAGTACAGCCTCTATGGACGGCAACTTGAGGATGCTATCAAAATCTTAAATGTACATTCTCTTTAAAACAGCAATTCAGCTTCTAAGAATTTATTCTACAGTGTGAAAAATTATATATGTATATGCATAGTATCTATATTATATATATGTATATAGTGTGTATATATTATACACAGCTATTCACTGAAATAGTGTAATAAAAAAGTATTGGAAACAAGTTAAATATCCACCAATATGGCATATCCATTCAATGAAAAACTATGCAGCAGTTACAAAGACGGCTAAATTCTCAATGGACTGCTATCGAACAATCTCCAAAATACACTGTCAGAGTATGCTACCACTTGTGTAAAAGAAAGGATATACATGTATTTGCTTGTATATGCATAAAATATCTCTGGAAGAAAATAACAAATGAGTGGTAAGTGATTGCCTCCATGTAGGGGAACTGGGAGCCCTGGTGGCACAGCAGTTAAGAGGTCAGCTGCTAATCAAAACGTTGGCAATTTTAATCCACCAGCCACTCCTTGGAAACCCTATGGGGCGGTTCTACCCTGTCCTGTAGGGTCACTATGAGTCAGAATCAACTCAACAGCAACGGGTTTGGTTTGGCTTAGGGGAACTGGATGGCTGAGGGACAAAGGTGGGAGAAAGAAGCCTTCACTCTACCCTTTAAATTGTGAACCACATGACATTACCTTGTCAATAAATATTTAAAGGGAATCTTTTTTTTTTTTTATATCACAGAGCCAAAAAATAAATAGATTTTAAAAAAGGTCATGGGTTTGGGAGTCACATGCTTGGATTTGAATCTCAGCTCCCAGTTAATGGCAATATAGCAGAGGAAGGCTTTGGAGCTCCTGGGTGCTGCAAATGGTTAATGTGCTTCAGGAAGTTCTAATCCACCCAGAGGCATCTCAGAAGGCCTGGTGATCGAATTCTGAAAAATCAGCCATTAAAAACCCTATGGAGCACAGTCACACACATGGGGTCGCCATGAGCCAGAGTCAACTGGACAGTAACTGGTTAGGGCTTTGTAGACAATCTGGACTTGAATCTTTGCTTTGGTAAGTTACTAAACTATGTGAGTTTCAATAAGATTTAACTGGTCTAGGCTAGTTTCTTCAACTATAAAATGAGGATAATAAGGTCACTGGGAAGCATTGTACACAAGTGCGATGTTAAAGCCACTCCATGCGTGACAGGGTGGTCATCTATGAGTCAATATTCCAAGGTTATACAGTAGGTTCAGACTTACTTAAACTGATCTATATTGCCATGCTAAAGTCACAGCATAAGACCAAGGAGCAACTACTGGGAGACCTTGTACTTCCTATCCTGAGAACTTCTAACAGATTCAAAATATCATGGTATGAAGAGTTATCCAAAACGTGTCATATGCACATAATTGTGCTCTTGAAGCACACAGTACAGACATAACATGTACTACTTTGTGGATTTGGCACAGAACATGGACTGATTGTCTTAGGACTAAAACTGTTGGTCACATCATAGTCTGCACCAGGTAAATCATATATGGTGGTAGGACCAAATTTTGCTACTCAACCACACTGTCAACAAGGAAATGGAAAAATATATCAAGGTATACCAAGGATGCTAGTGTGTCCGTCCCCTGGGAAGGTGGCAAAGGGTGAAGGAGATATTACACCAGCCATCACACCAAATGAACATACAACTTCTAATAAAACATACAACCCATTGGTACTGAAGTGATATTACATTACATAATGCTCTACAAATCCACTAGATGGGAAGAGTGGAGAATAAATGTCTTAAGAGACATTCACATAGCCACGGAAGTGCAACTGGAAAGGAAGGTCATAGGAATTACTCTACATATATATGGATAACTGTAGCCAGCCCAAGTGGTAAGTACTAAGGGGCAACACATTAAGTAAACTGCACTGGAAGGAAAACCACGCTACTTCTAGCTCTGCCAAACTCATTAACTGTGTAATAATAGCTATTCCGTTTCCCACAGCATCCTTCTCCTGACCTAAAAAGGGTATCAGACAGTGTATATATAAAAAAGCTTATACATGGGAACAGAAATCTTACCATGAGGTAATTTCACCCCTAGAAGAATTTATGACAAACTGACAAATATGCCTCATTTGTCTTTCCGACAATTTAACGAGGATAGTTTAATTAAGCCAGAGGCTTGTCCTCAGCATAGGCACATTTTCAGGGTTTGTCTTTTTTAGGTGTCTTGTTCCCAGCACACTTCTGATGAATACATTATGAAGCAATTATAATTCACAGATATGGAAGACACTAAAACCAAAAATCTTCTCTTGAAGAGGCATAGCATCACACATTTAACATTAAGAGTAAACAACTGTGCATGTCTTTCAAATTCCCCAAATTTGATTGCATAAATTCTGTTATTGACAGAATACAGCATCTTTTCCAAAGAACAAAAAAAAATTTAGATGAGCACTGAAAAACTGTTAGCACTACAAATATAAGAATTCTTCATCGTCTAGTATCTTAGCTGGTTAGGAGGGGCTCAAGACTCTAGAGCCAAACATAAATGTTGCTTTAAAATTACTGACAGAAGTTGATTATTCTAACCTTTTAATTAATACTTGTTCAACTACATCATCAAGTCTTTTGGACACTCCTTAGAACCAGAGTCAGAAAGAACCATAGAAATGACTTATTTAGTCCAAGGCTCCAGATTCAAGACAGTACACTGAGATATACCAGTAAATCTTTGTGTTACTGGATGATCTGGAAGCCAGTTGCCATTCTCCGGCCTCTCCTGAGTATTGGAAGAAGCACTAGAACTGCCAGTGAGAATAGTGCAACAGTCAATAGCAGTACTGTAGTACAACAGTCAGTAGCAGTACTATAGCTTCCTCTTCCTTTATTTTACTTAGAGACTCTACTAGTAGTGAAAAGACATAAAGGAATATCAAAACTTCAGAGAAGTAAAAACTCATTTCCTCTCACAAAACAGTTGGGAAAAACCTAATATGGTCTAACTCTAATTTGGTAGGCAAAAGATGATGCCCAAGATGAAATTATTTTCCCACTTAATGAGGCAGGGATATGACCAGAACCAATACACTATATTCTCTTTACTGAATGTGAAACTTATGCACAGGCTACTTTACAAGAGTTAAATCTCCAAAAACAATTTGGAGAAAATGTCTTTGTCTGTGGTAGAATAGTAATAATATGAGACTCATAAAATTAGAGATTATTCAAGATTATACTCAAAAGCTGTGTTTACCGACAGAAATAATCCACAATAGTAATTGTCTATGGATTAATTTTCACATTCTACAATTTTGAGTGGTAACAACTTACCTGATAAGAAGCTGCTTCTTTGAAAAGTTTGGGTAGGAAAAAAGAAAGAGATCATGACATTCTGACATTGTGTCTTCTCCTAAGGTCATGAAAATCACTAATACATTTTCTTCCTGCAATGTGCACTCCTCAGGATGGTCAAGTGCAGTCAGTACAACAGAAATTCAGCCCAAGAATTACAGACAACTAAGCTCTAGTCACTCAAAAACCTTTAAGTAGTTTATTTTGGTTTTATACTTTTATTTTTTAGAATATCATCTTTATTTATGACTTAGGTAAAACATGAAACACAAGAGACCAGACTGTCTCAAAGCTAAGAACAAGGCTTTTTCTTTAAAAAACAAATACAAAAAACCCAACAACTATAAACCATATGCTAAAATATCAGGGTATCCGTACATCAAAAATAATTGAATTGCCTGAACCATATCCTTTTAAAAAATTTTTAGTGGAAATATACATAACAAAACATACACCCCTTCAACACTGTTACATGTACAGCTCAGTGACATTGGTCACATTCTTTACATTGTGTCATCATTCTTGCTCTCTCTACCCATATTGTTTCACCATCACTAACTTAAACTCTATCCCCTAAATTTCTCCTCTGTGTGTAAGAGTTACTGTTGTCGATTTGGTCTCATATACATAATTCTTTAAAAGAGTGCACTGCTCAATGCAAACATTCTTCACTAGTTGAGCTAAACTGTAGTTTCAAGATGAATTCATGGGATAGTTTTGGTTCAAGGCTTAAAGATTATCTCAGGGCAATAGATTCAGGGGTTCCCCCAGTCTCAATGGACCCAATGAGTCTGGTTTCTATAAAAACTTGAAACTCTGTTCCACATTTTTCCTCCTTTTGATCAGGATCCATCTATTGGGTCCTTGATCAAAACTGAACCATACCCTTTTAAAACTAATTCAAGTCCCCAAACTACCATAACTCTCTTTTCTTCTCTAAATGTCTATAGCACAATATATTTAATTCGTAACACTCTCTTTTGTATGTCTATATTGTTTTTATATATACTGGCATTAACTATATCCCAAACTAGAGAGTAAGTTCCTTTCAGGAGAGAGAATTTATCGTATCTAGCACTACACATAGGCACCCAGTAAAGGCATTTATCTTTAGGTAAAAATTTCTCTATGATTTGGTTAGAGTGAGAAGGATCATTGTGTTGGTAATAGAATGTGGAATCTAGGAGAGTAAGATACAAATTGCACACATGGAGTCAACATCTAATAGTTTGCTATCCAGATAAAGGGGCTAATATAGTTTAGATTTGTAACTCTAAAAGTCAAATCTTCAACTATACAATATTTGAATGGGAAAAAAACACACGTACACACACACACTTTATTACAACCAAAAATTAGACAGTAACGGCAAACACTACCCTAGACTCCTCAGAACTTATAGGTAATGAATAATCCAAAAATAACATGCTGAAGATATGGTCATTCAATCAAAAGCAATCCTGATGTTGCGTTCCTGCTCCTTGCGACGACGATCCTCGAAAACCTGGGTTACCTCTTCTACCTTCCTTTGCAGAAAGCCTATAGAGGAAAAAAGTCATCCAATCATTAATCTGAGGTCAAAATATCTCAGGAACATAATAACTTACATTCTCCCATCAACATATGACTTTACATATCAATTTTAATAGCTTTAAGTTTTAGAAAAATACAGAAGAGGAAAAATATCACCCATTTGTTTGGAAACTATAAAAACAGTAGACAAGACTGTTCTTTATCTGCTCTCCTTAGCTTTCAGGTCAGCTGTCTACCTGACATTTATGTTTGGTTGGAGAGAAGTGTTAACTGCTTTTTACTCATTATAGCCTAGCAGTGCCATACAGGGTGGCCACTGAATTGAGGGTATAGATTTTGGCGGGTCTTAGCTATCTATGGAGCCCTGGTGGTATAGTGGTTAAGAGCTATGGCTGCTAACCAAAAGGTCGGCAGTTTGAATCCACCAGCTGCTCTTTGGAAACCCTATGGGGCAGTTCTACTCTGTTCTACAGGGTTGCTATGAGTCAGAAACGGCTTGATGGCAATGGGTTTTTTAGCCACCTATGAGCAAATCAGTACACTGTATTCACATTTCTGTTCCCTTCTAATGATTTATTTATTTAATTCATTGTTTCTTAAATTTTCACAGGGACAGAGCACTACAAAACACCATTAATTTTACCACATAAAATAGTAACTTTCGGATAGTAAAAACAAGCTGTTGAAGTAAGCATGATAATCTGAGTCTTTCTATTAACATGCACAAATACACGTGATCATTTGTTTTATTGTCCATTAATGCTTATTAGTGACTAACCAATGACTGGTATCCAAGATTTAAGAAAAACTTTACGAGACAAAAACTAAAAATGTAAAACAATGTATTTTAAATTTCTCCAGACAATTGGAAAAGCCCCAATTTATTCTGTTTTTGAAGTGTAACACCTCATCCTACATTATAACCTATAGGCATTCTGTAAGATCATGATGTAACAAATAAGTGATTTAAATAATGGCTGCTGTCTATTAAAGGGCTAGCAAACCAGTATATGTTGAGCTTGGGAAAACAAATCTTTTTGTTGTAATAAGTAACTGCGGGGTGCAATTTTTTCCCCTAAATAACATTTTTTTTAATGTGATAGAAGCATAAATGAGCACCACAACAAACCATTAACTTGAGGCCAGAAGTGTCAACATAAGCACAATCTACTAATTTGCTGATTGATACATATTAAATGCAAAGGAGTACATTTATAAAAATAACAAAAATCGATAAAATGCCAAAAAACACAAGTTGGCATTATTAATTGAGCCTTACTATAAACATTTTGTCATGTCTTTGAATTGAATTCCCAGGACTATTTCTGTATTAACATACTTTAAATTTTTTAGGGCTTTCATTCTATAAAAATTGCACATAGGCACTTCTTGCCCAGAGTTCTTTTCCTATGTTAAATGTCAGTGATTGATTCCTACGGGCCTAATACCTTATATATGATAATAGAAGTAAAATAATAGTAATAGTCAAAACTTGGAAAAATATACATTATGTCATTCAAAAACAACTGTACTGAATAATCTGAAAATGAAATTAAGAAAACTATTTCATTCACAATAGCATCAAAAAGAACTAAAACAGGAATAAACTTTACAAATTAAGTTTATTTATGTCTCTCTCTCTCTGTGTACACACACACACACACACACACACACACACACACACACACACACACGTTTCTCTGGTTTTGCTCCTCTAGAGAACCCAGCCTAAGACATCTGGTACCAGGAGTAGGGTGGAAATGGGAGTGGTACCACTCACTAATACCCCTAGTGACCCACTTGCAAAATTTTTGCTTCTTGTCCCCGTAACTCTATGTTCTTCGGGTCTAGAGGTCTTAGTTCCAAAGGGAGAAATGCTCCCACTTGGAGACACAACACTGATTCCATTGAACTGGAAGTTAAGAATGCTTTGGGCTCCTCACACCTCTGGATCAACAGGCAAAGAAGGGAGTTACAATATTTGCTGGTGTGATTGGTCCTGATTACCAACAGGAAATTGGACTGATATTACATAATGGAAGTAATGAAGAGTATGTTTGGAATACAGGAGATCCCTTAGGGCATTTCTTAGTACTACCATACCCTGTGATTAGTTAACGGAAAACTACAGCAACTCAATTCTGACATGACTACTAATGGCCCAGACCCTTCAGGAATGAAGGTCTGGGTCACCCTACCAGCCAAAGAACCATGACCAGCTGAGGGGCAAAGGGAATACTGAATGGGTGGTGGAAGAAGGTAGTCCTAAATACCAGTTATGACCATGTGATCAGAAGTAGAAATGAGGACTGTAATTGTTATAGTATTTCTTCCTTGTTTATTACACATGCATGTGTGTATACGCACATGTATACACACATATATTTATATATACATATATACATCAAATATTTTTGTTTTCTTCACTCTTTTATCCCATTACTTATAAAATATAAAATGTAAATGGGGCTAGTGCATTTTCAGATGAACTCATGTTAGTTGTATCATGTTAGGCACAAGTATGACTTTATAATTGTCTTTATTTAGAGATTATGTATGGTTCAAGGAGATGTGCACAGGTGTCAAGTTGACAAGGGGTAGACTGTGACGGTTAATATTATGTGTCAACTTGGCTAGGCTATGATTCTCAGTGGTTTGGCAAACATTGGACTGATTGCTCTTCCATTATGTAATATAACGTAATCACATTCATGATGAGATCTGATATAATGTCATCACTTCCATGATGAGATCTGCTATAAGCAGCTAATCAATTGAAAGGGGAGTTTCCTTGGGGGTGTGGCCTGCATCCAGTATATAAACGGATGTTCCAGCAAGGCTCACTATCGCTCTGGATCTTGTATCCGACTCATCATCTGACTTCCAGTTCTTGGGACATGAGCCAGTAGCCTGCCACTTGACGTGCAGATTTTGGGATCTGACTGCTCCTGCAACCCCGTGAGCCAGCAGCCTGCCATCTGACCTGCTGATGTTGAGTTTGTCAGCCTCTGCAACCACGTGAGTCAGAAGAAGCCGTCAGCCTGATGTCTGACACACAGATTTGGGACTTGCCAGCCTCCTCAACTGCGTGAGCCATTTCCTTGAATTAAATCTCTTTCTGTATATGTATTTATGAATTGACTCAATGGCAATGGGTTTGACTTGGTTTATAAATATTTATGTATATATATATACCTTTCACTGGTTTTGTTCCTTTAGAGAACCCAGCCTAAGACACCTATACACTGAAAACTAGACAACACTGTTAAGAGAAAGTAAAGATCTAAATAAAGGAGTGACATTCCAAGTTCATGGACTGGAAAACTCACTATTGTTTAGATGGCAATTCTCCACAAATTGATCTACAGATTCGGTGGAATCCCCATTAGGATTCTAGTACATTATTTTTGTAGATAGAGACAAGGTACACAAAATTACAAAGGAATTAAGTACTGATAAATATGACAACATAGATGAAACTTGAAAACATTATGCTAAGTGAAAGAAGCCAGACATAAACGGTTACATATAACATGATTCCATTTATATAAAGTCTCTAGAAAAGGCAATTCAATGAAGACAGAAAGTAGATAATGGTTGCTGGGGCTTGGGGTAAGAATAGAACTTAGCTGCAAATGAGCAAGAAGGGAGGTTTGGGGATGACAGAAATGTTCTAAAAAGTAGATTGTGTGATGGCTGCACAACTCTGTAACCAACCAAACAAAAACCCGTTGCCATCGAGCTGATTCCGACTCATAGTGACCCTGTAGGACAGAGCAGAATTGCCCCCCAGGATTTTCAAGGCTATAATCTTTACAGAAGCAGACTGTCACATCTTTTTCCCATGAAGTGGATGGTGGGTTCGCACTGCCGACCTTTCAGTTAGCAGCCGAGTGCTTAACTCCTGTGCCATCAGGGCTCCTTCACAACACCATAGTCTTAGCTAAACGGCTACTGGTTAAGATGTTTATGTTTTAAAAAAAGAAGACTTCTCCCCAAAAGATTATAATGAAACTGCTTCCAGTCGGCCCAAGTCTGACTGGGGACGCACAATTTCTTTAACTTAACCTACTTGCAAATATTTTAGGGATAGGTTCAAAGATTTCATAGAAAGTTATGAAAATAATGGGTTTACATAGTTATTAAACCCAAACACAGTTCTATTGTAATTAATGTTGTTATTTTTAAGTTATACATATAAATATTCTATATAATGTTACATTCAATGTTCATGAAAAAATGGACCCGCATAAACATTGCTATAGTGTACCTCTTATTGTCTTTCCAGAAAAACAACTGAAGCAATTAAGAGAAAAAAATACGCAGGGAAATGTTTAAAAGACACAAAAAGGTAACTTAGAAAATGAAATACAAATTGTTTATAAACATTTTTTAAATACTCAACCTCATTAGTAACCAAAGGAAGGCAAATTAAATCAGGGAAATATTATTTTCACCTATAAATTTTGGCAAGGAATGATGACAGTGATGCTGATGACAGAAGTAGTAGTACTGGGAAGAGTTCAGAAAAATGGGTACATTAATGAATCGCCGCTGAAAAATATAAATTAGTACAACTTATTTGGAAGGAAATAAAAATTAAAAAAACATTAAAGCAGACATTACTTTTGAGTCAGCATTTTAACTTCTAAGAATTTTCTCTATGTTCAATAACCATGGATATACTCTAAAAAAAGAAATCAGCTGCGAAGCAAAAGTTCAGCAGTTTGAATCCACCAGCTGCTCCTTGGAAACCCTGTGGAGCAGTTCTACTCTGTCCTACAGGGTCGCTAGGAGTCGTCATTGACTCGACAGAAATGTGTTTGGTTTCTTTTTTTGGTTTATCTTCAGCACAAGGAGCCCTGGTGGTGCAATTGTTAAGCACTCAGCTGCTAACCGAAAGGTTGGCAGTTCGAACTCACCAGCAGTTCCCCAGGAAAAAACACCTAGCAATCTGCTCCCATAAATATTTGTTGTTGTTAGGTGCTACTGAGTCAGTTCCGACT